TTATCAGCCATACAGCACTCTTTACTGTGCTATAACTATCATGTATTTGAAGTTGTGGGATTTGTTGAACTGCTAAATTTTGGTGTGTTTTAATTTGTGTCCATGTCCCATTGAGCATGTACATGTGTACATAATGGTTCATAATGGTGGGTTTTATTTTTGTGAATGGCTATTATCAAAATCCCAAATTCACCAAAAATTCCCTCTCCAAAATCACACATTCAGATTTTTTAAAATGGACATATCTTCCAGTATGTGTCATGTATTAACCTTCTCTTTCCTAAGGTTATAGCAAGTTCCTGTTAAAGGTTGAAGTACATTAGGTATGTGTCAACATAATTATATTGTTCTCTGTTCTAGTGTGGGCAGCAATGTAGTGCCACCTCCACGTGACACTGCCTGGGATCACTAGTGGCTACTACTGCTAGTGATGCTAAGAGCACTACATACAAGAAAAATAGATACTAAAGCCCAACATACACTATGCAACATTTTGTTTGCAACAAATGTTGCACAGTGTATGTTGGGCTTAACAGTAGCTATGTATGATGAATTACATTCCATTGTTAGGTTAATGACAATAAGAGGATAAGTACAATTCTCTGCTATTGAAGACTACATTGAGAAGTATTCTAAGTATAGTATTGTTAAATATGTTGTCATTGCTATAGGTTAATTGTTTGCTGTTTGAAGCTGTACATTAACTGAAGACTATAAAGAATTACATGACATTATTGTTTATAATTTTAGCATTTTTGTTTAATACACAATTATACACATGCAAAGTTGTCTTTTTATCATTGCGAGAGACATTAATGCAGAAGCGGGTGCAATGACTTATAAACAGAAATGAGATTAAATCATGAAAAATGACAATAAAATAAGAAACACACTTCAGCCATGCATGTAGAGTACAATTAAGTCAACAATGATATTAATTAAATAAACCAGTCTTATAGTGTTACAGACCTTAGTTCCTAAACCCAGTCTATAGATCTTCAGTATATGAATGAGAGATCAGTCCTTGAGATGATGAGTTCAGCCTCAGATCCACAACCTATAATAAATAATAAGAAATGATTAGTTATTATTAATACTGACATTAAGCTGATTCCAACAAAAAAAATTAATTTTGAAATATGCAGCAATTTTAAAAATAGTAAGTTTTCCAAAAAAAAGCAAAAGCTAAAAGCATGTGTTTTTTCCCAAAAATGGCTCAAAAACCACCTCAAAATTTTATTACGTTCTCTGATACATATTGATGTCCTTATACTGTGTAGAAAGTTTGAGCTGATTCTGACTTAATTTTTTCAAGTTACAGCCATTTAAAAAATATGCCAATTTCTGAAATAATCCCTGCACTATAGCCCATGGTTTTTTTGCAAAAAATGGCTCAAAAATCAGATCCAAACCTATAATAAATAATAAGAAATGATTAATGATACTTTATTGATAAACATAGAGTCCAACATAGATTTGATTCCAACAATAATTTGCTGACTTACAGCCATTTTAAAAGTAGTAAAATTTGAAAAAACAAAAGTGACAAATGCTAATATTCCATGGTTTTCTACAAAAATGTCGCCCAACTAATGGAGTGAAAACAATAACAAAAAAGTAGTAATTTCAGCAACTTAAAAAATTTTGAATCAATTAACTCAAACTTTCTACACAACATAAGTACATGTACATGCATGATAAAGTGCAACAAAGAGGGAAAAATCTCTCATTTTCAATTTTGCAAAATT